CAGTCGATGATTTACGCCACGCGCTTTGTGTTTGCGGCCATCATTGGTGCCATCTGCGGCTTTTGCCTCAACTCGGAGCGCTTTGCCGGCGACTTTGACTGGGACATTGGCGTCAACGGGTACTTTTGGATTTTGGCCATTCCGTCCGTCATCAACATTCCGGTCGTGTGGTTCTTCATCAAGGACACGAAGCACGAGGCCGTCCAGTTCAGCGTCTACTTCAACCAGCTCTGGACGCTCGTCCAGAAGCGCGCGGTGTGGCAAGTGCTCGTCTTCAACTTCTTCTTCAACTTCTTCACGGGCAGCATCGGGTCGACGGCGGGGTCGTACGTCGCCTTGTACTGGGCCAAAGTCGAGAACCTCAACAGCGCCATCATGGGCGTCGTCGGCAACATCATCTTTGCCGTCATCCTCTACCTCACGGGCATGTACGGCACGCACTGGAACTGGCGCTACGTGCTCGTCAGCACCATTCTCACGGCCAACATCATCGACTCGGTTTTGCCAGTTTTTGACCATCTACGACGTGTACCGCAACCAGTGGTTCTACCTCGGCGTGCCTGTCCTTGAAAACATCCCCACCGGCATCAACTTTGTCGTTGGCACGTACGTCATTGTCGAGCTCGCCGAGTCGGGCAACGAAGGCGTCATGTACGGTCTCTTGACGACGATCTCGAACCTCCCGAGCACCTTTGGCTCGATGATCACCAACATCATCGACGGCTCGCTCGACTACAACAAGAAGCTCATCAAGGCCGACGCGCCCGAGACGCGCGACCAGGTCGCGTACTCGTACTTTGTCGCGTACGGCTCGGTGCTCCTCGGGTGTTTTTGCGTCTTCTTGCTGCCCAACCAAAAGGCGGCGGTCGCCGAGCTCAAGAAGAACGGCGGGAGCCAGCCCAAGGTCGCGGCCGCCATCTTCTTCATCCTCTTTGCAGTGCTCTGCACGTCCATCACGGGCAACCTCAGCTCCATGTTCGAGTCGACGCGCTGCATGCGTCTCGCGGGCGGAGCTGGCTGCAAAGAGGCCCCGCCCAGCGCGTACCTCGCGGGCATCTTTGTGCCAGTCGGTCTCGCGGCGCTCTTGATCGCCAAGATCGCGTACTCGCGCCGCTAAGTGGATCGCCGTCGATGAGACCAGCTATGTAACTCGTGTCATGTGTTGTGATAAAAGTTGACTGCGTTGAGCGTTCTGGATTGAGATTGCAATATGGAGGCTCGGTATCGCTGAATGGATTCTGTTTTTGAGGCCGTAGCAGGTGGACCTTGACGCGAGCCGTGCTGGGTGCTCGATGAGATATGTAGTACTGCATGCATCATGCTGTCGCTATGTGTTGCCATGGTTTGGAACGACAGGCCGATGCGAGCCTGGACAAGCACACGACGCTGCCACGTCATGCGGTTCAAAATATAGTGTGTAGCACACTAAAAAAAGTGCGTGTAACAGCCATATGACGTGGCGTGTTATAACACCGATGTCTGCCTTGTGTTTTTTCTTCGGGCCAGTTTGGCATGGGGCTCCTCCTCTGCCGTCCGCGCACGACCTCGTGCGACGACTGCGCGCTCCCGCCCGAGCTACTGCAGCACGTTGCGCAGTTCATACCGACAGCGGCCGACTTGTTCCGCTTCCTCTATGCGCTGCCGCTCGACGTCCTCACCGAGCCGGTCGCGAGCCTGCTCGAGCTCGGCGGGACCTTCTTTGAGCCCGACGACCTCTGGCCCGCGCTCGCTTTGCCGCCGCACGCCATCGTGGACCCCGAGGCGCGCGTACTTCTCGCCAAAGCCATGGCCATGTACCCGCTCGTGCGTGTGCGTCATGTGCCACAAGCCGTGAGCTGGCCGCTCCTCCCGACGACGGCTGTCGCGCTCAGCAGCTTTCACATGAAGCCGGACGCGTTCGACTTGGCGGTGGCCCACTGGCCAGAGCAACTCGTGTCCTTGCATGTGCTATTGCTCGAGAAGGCGCAGGCGCAAGACGAAGCGGGCGACGCGACGTGGTGCCACGCCCGCCTCTCGAGCCTCTGCGATGGCCTTCGGACGCTGCGCCGCCTGCGCCATTTCCACCTCCGGCACTGTCTCCGTCGGCCCGCGCCCGAGCTCTGGGATGCGCTATGTGCCGCAAACGCACTCGAGTCCCTCACGCTGGACGCGGATGCCGACTCAATGTGGGACACACGCCCGTTGGCGGCGTGGATCGCAGCGCGCCCGGGGCTGCGCAGCTTGCACCTCCTCAATCTCTCGGGTGCCATCACGACAGACGACGCGACGCGCGAGCTCGCGACGGCCATCCTCGGCGCACCGCAGCTCCGGTCGCTGCAGCTCGTGCACTGCGCCGTAACAAGGTCGCTTCTGCAGGAATCGCATCCTGCCTGGCCGCCGCACTTGGTTCGTCTTGTCGTCCACACCGACGACGCTTCGGTCGATGCAACACAGCTCGTACGAGGCGCCGTCACAACCACGCCCCACCTGCGCATCTTCTCGCTTGTCGCGGCGCCGACGGCACGGCCATCGCCGCTTCGGGCCTTTCCATCGACCGACCGTCTTCGCCACTTGAGTCTCAAGTTTGTACCGCTCTCGCACGAAGCGTGCAAGGACCTTGCGATGCTCGTACCTTGCCTGTTCACGCTCACGCTCGACGGCAACGATCTGAACGACGACGACGTCGCGGCGCTCGCACCCGCGTTCGCAAACGCGATCCATTTGCGCAAGGTGTATCTGCGGCACCAACCGTTTGGCGACAAGGGCGCGATGGTCCTTGCGACGTCGCTCCCAAACTCGCTGCGGGTGGTGTCGCTGGCCAAAAACCAGATTGGCACGGCCGGCGCCATCGCCTTCAGTGACCGACTCCACGCAGCCACGACGCACTGGGCCACGCTCGTGCTTCGCACCAACCCATTGGGCAAGGACGGTGTCTTGGCGCTGGTCACGGCGCTCGCCGTGCGGCCGTTCTGCGCGCTCGACGTTGTGCATACCGTCGTCGATGCAGCTGACGTCGACGTCGACGCGTGCAAAGCAACCATCGCCGCACTGCCCCACGGCACGCATGTCGACTTTTGGTAGCATGGTAACCCGAATGTAATTATGAGTGTTTGTACATGTTGGACAGGTTGTCTACTGTACTTCATGTGACGAGAAATGCGGAGAAAACGAGGAGGCACACCCTTGATACATTCTTGATACTTTTGCGTCGTCTCTTCCATTCAGGTCATCCAGCGCTGGCCGACGACGAGTAGCCAGCGGTGACCGTCTGTCACGCTAGCTCTGTATACATCATCGGTGGTGACGTGGACCAGTCGCTCAAGTGTGGAGTTGGACTCGCATTCTACCGAGATGGACCTGGTTGCACCGGAAACCTTCCAGCATCAAGGTGTGGCGTCTAGAGCTCGAGAGACCCCCGATCGGTCCTTGCGGCGATGTTCTAGCACGTCGATAGCTCTGCTGCCACGTGCATCTTGTGTCCTGGTCGACGATGGAGAAATGGAGAGTCGTAGAGCTAAGAGTCGGGTCGGCTTTCTTGTTATAATAAATTACACGCGAGGGTGTATCTTGGCTAAACCCGGCGCTTCTTCTTTGGCGACTCGGACCCGACGTGGCGCTTCTTGCTGCCCAAGCTCGCATTATCGTCGTCGCCGTCGTCGTTGTCGTCGTTGTCGTCGTCGTCGGTCAACGGCTCGGGCAACGCCCCCGTGATCTGCGGCCGGCAGTGGCGGCAGAACCACGCGCCGCGTGGCACGGCGTCGAGGCCAATGTGCGGCATTGAGAACTCGCCGTCGCAGTTGTCGCACAGAATCAACATCGCGTGGTCCAAGGGCTTGGTGAGCTTGAGGATCAAGCCCCGCTTGCGCACGGGCTTGGCGCGGCTGCAACGCGGGCACGTCCACGACGGCGTCGACGCCACGCAGAGCGTGTGGCCCGTCGACTCGCGGCACGTGTCGCACGTGACAATGTGCTGCTCCGCGATCGTCGCCAAGCAGCACGTCGAGCAGACGCCGTTGAGACGCACGGGCTCGAGCGGACCGTCTTCGTCGTCCGAGTCTTCGATAGTGTCATGGTCGTTGTCATTGTCATTGTCGTCGTCCTCGTCGTCGTCGATGACCTCGGCAGGCCGTTGCGTTGCGTTGCTGGCACGGCGGCGAGGTGGCACAATGGCGTCGTCGTCGTCGTCGTCGTCCGACCCCATAAAGATGTCGCTCGCATCTGACTCGTCCGCCG